AAGCTGCCAACATAGGTGTTATTGGAAGGGCATATAAACAAACATTTAAGTATTACATTATAAGTGTTACTATCATAGTAACGGCATTAACCTTTGCAATATAATATAATATAGTTGAATATATACCGAGTAAATATTATATCTGATATAATGCAGCTCTATTATTATTTTTAAATTATTAGTCAATGCTCCAATTATGCTAATTATATCAACATTGGCAGAGGAATCCAGAAATGACGCTCTATTACAGGTTAGTGTACATTCTGTTATCAAAACACAGTGATCAATCATTGTAGTTAATTTTACCCACTTTTGTAATATTGAACACAATAATAAATACCATTCTAAAGCTTGGAATCCATAATTGCTTATGTTTTTTTTTTATAGGAAATAGCATATGATGATAACAGAAGAGGCGGAATTGATGTCATGTCAGATGCTAGGCATTCAACAAGAAAAAATGCCAAGCAAAGCGAAATTGTGTTTCTAGGCGACAGGTAATATTATTATTAATTTGTATCACAATTTCATGATATAATACTACAATAACGTTTTGAATTTGTAACCATGTCTAAATGTCCATCAACAGAACTCACAAATGCATATACAAAACTGTAGTCACCAGGAATGATGATACATGCTCCCAGAGACATGAGATGGCTGGAGTACGTAGATTTTACCAGTGGGCTGACAATAAAGGTAATTATTGGATATGCCAATGTACACAATAATGTAAGCTTGTTCATTCATATTTCGTTTTTGGTAAGGTTACACGCGAGAACTAGTACTAGTTATTTGAAACAAATTGTATCCTGTTATATAGCTCAGTTACTGAATACTAATATAATGCCGGCCATCTGTAATGTTGGTTGATATTCAGTGTCATGGTACTACATTATTTCCCTTACATATCGTGTGTTCTTTCAGACGTACCAATAATTGTGCATGCCCATGACAGGAGTATGTCTGTGAACAAATTCCTCGGAGATGAACGCCAAGACACAATCAATGCAAATGACACTTGGCATGGTGAGTATTTTTTGCTATAATAAAAAAAATATTCAAAAATTGAAAATATTCTCGTACGAAACATGAATTCCCCTGATGATATTTTTCATTCCTCTTTTTCCAGTGACAAAGCAGATTGGCAAGCAAGTCAAGTCAATCACGACTGGTGCTCAATCAAGACACGGGAAAACGTGGCACACCGAGTTGTCAGACAAAGGTATAAAATACAACCATCTCGCGTCAATATGTATAATAAACAACCACTAATACGCCATGGTATATTTTTACCACATTACACTGGTCATGTAATGACATTCACAATTACTGTTTTATTCTGTAACAGGCGCCTCCATCAAAACCCACTTTTATTGGAGCATGAAATCAGCAAAGAAATTTATGGGAAGTGAGAACACAAATATGGATACACGGTCAGAGGCTTGTCAAGCACTGAGAACAAGTTTAGATAACATTGTAAATCACTACCAAGTAAGTTTACAAATTATCATAAATATGTTTTAAAACACATGAAATAAACATTACATATCCCGTACATATATGTCAGAGATATAATTGTATTTTTATTTTGCTTTCAGAACAACCATGCCGATTGTTCTCTTGCTTCGAGGTGTCGACGTCAGGCGGACTATGAGCCATCATTTCGAGTCATGAGAAACCAAGTAGCCATCAATCTGCTATCAAAATTCATCAAAAACACTATAATTTACAAACAGGCGGATTCTTATGTTGAAGTAAGTTTCACTCATTTCACTCATCCGTGTTCTCATTGTCAATGTGCGCAAATACAATTACCATTACACTGAAACTAAATTCTGTCCTAATTATTCTACAGTGCAAAGATACTCATTACGTGGAGAGTTACAATAATGTATGTTTACTCTACCAAGACAAGCCTGTTGTATTTGGGAACGAAACATACAAACTACGGAGTGATCTCACATGTTTAGATTGGGTATGTATAATCCTATATTTTAGTGTTACATATATGTGCGCGAGTGTAAATATTGATCCCTGTATTAACTTTCTTCTCAACTCCAATTACAGAATGAAAATGTGGATCGTCTGACAACATCATTGGCGACAAGGCAGGATGCGAGAGCACCTCGTAGGCGAGCTGGACGTCGGGTAGTCGTGAAGAAAACGTAGACATGGAGAAGCAGTATCTGGGACAAACTGATGGAGCACGTGTATACACAATAGCATACACAAATAATCATTCATACGAGATGTATAATAAAGATTTAACTGATATTGATTTGCAATATATTTGTTTGTTACTTTTATTGAATGAAGTCAGAACCCAGTGTTATACATTCAATAACAAAAAATGATTATTGCCTATATTTTGAACAAAAATGTTCAAAAAATACACCAACGGATTTACTGTTGTTATGGGTCCCACAGTCCCGCGTATCCCGAATTGTTCGGGGATCACTTGATGATATTTACGTACGCCCTCGAAAAAATATTAGTTACTTGTTGGGCGTACGTAAATATCATCAAGTGACTATATAACCCCAAACAATTTGGGATACGTGTGACTGTGATATTACACTCAGTATACAAAATAAAGGAATAAAGAAAGATACTGAGGCGACTTCGACATACTACAGGCATGTCACAAATTATCCAATTTTCATTTTCGATTAATCCGTTCTGGTACTATAAAAAACAACGAAAGTCATACTCTCATATCGATCGCTATTTTATTAGTGAACAAATTACAAGAACCGATATTCTGTCAAACTTGGTTTTGCTATCATATGAGATATAGTACGAATATTTCTATTGGCTGAAATTTGCGGTTGCACCAACTTTTGATGAACACACAAGATGTCGGCAAGGGCACTATTCGTCTTTATCGTGGTGATCAATTTATTACCATTTCTACTTTTTACTGACTACCGTTACCCCGATCCGGATTATATAAAATAATATGATCGTAGGTATTTGTGTTTTTCGATTTGGGCCATTTCCCTTTCGGTTCTAACCGCCATTTCGTCCGTTTGTCACTTTACCATGTATTGTTTGAAAGCAGTTTATTGTCAATATCACAATGAGAGTGATGATATATTGCAAATTCCCTCACAAAAAGTTTTCAACTTGTAGTTTTTACGCAGTTCATGTACTAAATATGCTCCATTTTTTGTAAATATTTGTTATTGTGTTTGAATGTGTACTGCGTCTTCTGTGGTGAAAAACAACAATGATACAATGTAACCGATTAGCTTATTCAGCTGCGTGTATGTCTCTCGTCCGTACTGATTGTGAGTTTATATGCGTGTCATTCCCAAAGAAACCACACCATGTCAGTTATTATACTTATTTCTTGACAACATCAACCACGAACACAGTTGTTATCATGCCGACATGTTCTTTTTGCCGACAAGTAAGTCGATGATTTTTGAGGTAGTTCTATTTCCGTCATTCTTTTGTTTTTGTCTATGCCAGAAAATAAACAAAGGAAGCGTACGTTCGGACTTGTCGAAATACAAATTTAAATACAGTTTAATCTGCTTTCTGGCCTGAGTAACGCATGATATTTCATCGATATCGTACACTACAATGTCACTCAAATTTATGACTTCATTGCTCCGGGCGATTTCTGTAACAGGCGAATATAACCCGGAACCACGGTCACTAAAAAAGACCGTGCTGGAACTAGTGAAATGGTCACTGTGACTTGGTGTCTTTATGACCCTAGTGAAATGGTCAATGTGACTTGATGTCTTTATGACCCTAGTGAAATGGTCACTATGACCTAGCGTCTTTATGACCCTAGTGAAATGGTCACTGTGACCTGGCGTCTTTATGACCCTAGTGAAATGGTCACTGTGACCTAGCGTCTTTATGACCCTAGTGAAATGGTCACTGTGACTTGGCGTCTTTATGACCCTAGTGAAATGGTCACTGTGACCTGGCGTCTTTATGACCCTAGTGAAATGGTCACTGTGACTTGATGTCTTTATGACCCTAGTGAAATGGTCACTGTGACTTGATGTCTTTATGACCCTAGTGAAATGGTCACTGTGACCTAGCGTCTTTATGACCCTAGTGAAATGGTCACTGTGACTTGGCGTCTTTATGACCCTAGTGAAATGGTCACTGTGACTTGATGTCTTTATGACCCTAGTGAAATGGTCACTGTGACTTGGTGTCTTTATGACCCTAGTGAAATGGTCACTGTGACTTGATGTCTTTATGACCCTAGTGAAATGGTCACTGTGACCTAGCGTCTTTATGACCCTAGTGAAATGGTCACTGTGACCTGGCGTCTTTATGACCCTAGTGAAATGGTCACTGTGACCTAGCGTCTTTATGACCCTAGTGAAATGGTCACTGTGACTTGGCGTCTTTATGACCCTAGTGAAATGGTCACTGTGACCTAGCGTCTTTATGACCCTAGTGAAATGGTCACTGTGACTTGGCGTCTTTATGACCCTAGTGAAATGGTCACTGTGACCTGGCGTCTTTATGACCCTAGTGAAATGGTCACTGTGACCTGGCGTCTTTATGACCCTAGTGAAATGGTCAATGTTACTTGATGTCTTTATGACCCTAGTGAAATGGTCACTGTGACTTGATGTCTTTATGACCCTAGTGAAATGGTCACTGTGACTTGGTGTCTTTATGACCCTAGTGAATAGGTCAATGTGACCTGATGTCTTTATGACCCTAGTGAAATGGTCAATGTGACTTGATGTCTTTATGACCCTAGTGAAATGGTCACTGTGACTTGCTGTCTTTATGACCCCAGTGAAATGGTCACTGTGACTTGGCATCCCTGCTAAAAAAAGTTCATGATTTGTCACTCTTTCACAAAAAGTTCACAGTAGCTTTATTACAAAGTCAAAACAAAATATTTATTTCATTTTAACGTAGACCCTAATCTTCTCTAGGGTCCAAGCTTTGAAAGTCATTTTTTTATTTCAAAATGAATAAATATAATGTAAACGAAAACATAATATTCATACCTTGATGTGACATTGTCAACTTTTGTGTTTTCTTCTGTGTTTTCTAAAGAGGAAACAATATGAAAAATATATATATATAAATAACAAGCAGCCTCTCGGCTGAGATAGCTCCGCTGTTAGCAAGGCACATTTCAATTAAAGAACTGAAGATATCATTAGAAAATGAACAATATGTATAGTATGTATAGCAATCGGATTTGCTGTTTTCAACAAGAATTCAAAAGTATCAATTTTTACCAAATATTACATAAATATTCATCAAAATTAGATAATTGAAGATATCATCACAAAATGAACAAATCTGAGAGAGGTCCACATGTAGTACCTATATATGTAATATCAAAGCAATCGGACTTGCGGTTTTTAACAAGAAGTCGAAAATATAATTTTTTACCAAAAATGACAAAAATATTCACCAAAATTAGAGAATTGAAGATATCATCACAAAATGAACAAATCTGAGAAAGGTCTACATGTAGTACCTATATATGTAATATCAAAGCAATTGGACTTTTGGTTTTTAACAAGAAGTTGAAAATATCACTTTTTACCAAAAATGACAAAAATATTCACCAAAATTATTATATGATCATGAAATGAACAAATCTGAGAGAGGTCTACCCAAGGTACATATACACCAAGTATCAAAGCATTCAGGCTTGTAGTTTTCAAGAAGAAGTTGAATAAGTAAAACATTGACACGGACGACGGACAATCACTCATATGATAAGCTCCGCTCGACAAAGTCGACAGCGGAGCTAAAAACTGATGTATGGTTCTTGAGATATCAGTGGAACAGACAGACACACACACACACACACACACACTCACACTCACACACATACAGATACACTAACTGCAAAGACTCCCTTTTTGTGCTTCGCACACGGGAGTCAAAAAGTAAAACATTGACACGGACACGGACGACAGACGACGGACAATCACTCATATGATAAGCTCCGCTCGACAAGTCGACAGCGGAGCTAATAAGTACTTTGTAACAACATGTCCACAGATGTATCATGGGAGCATTTAATATAAATTATTAAGTCAAGTATGACCAATGCATGGGTTTAGGGTTGTTGGGGGGAGGGTGTCCTAGACTTGTGCAGAACTGTTTTTAATGTAGTTACTTTTATCCAGTATTCCACCTGTAGATTGCATTACATAGTCTCTGTCAGTTCTCAAGTCTAATAAAATATATTAAGTTTGAACATGAAAGCTCAGAGCATGTCAATGATATGGCTCCAGAATTGCATTCACTAAAATAAAATGGCCACCATTTTGAGTCCAATGTGACAAACAAAACAATATCAAGATCCCATTATGTTCAATGCATATACATATATATATATATACCACAATCAAATGAAAACTGTCCATGCATGACTAAGTTCCAGATCCAAAATCGCAGAAATGCTTGATTTTGATGAATTTTAAATTTTAAAATGTCCGACATCATGTAAGATGTGCATACATGGAAGTATATATATTTGAGCATGATCAGGTAGAGCATGTCGGAAATATACCTCTAGAACCTCTTAAAGTGGCCACCAGTTAGCCAGTTTGAATCCATTCTGAAAGAGAAACAAACTTGCATTGGGGTATCATATTGTTTAATGTTAGTACAAAGTTTGAACAAAATACATCCATACATGACCAAGATCCAGATCTGCAATGGGCCATTCCAGTTTATATCTGCACCCCCCCTGTTGATGAGGTCGGATTTCCAGCACTGTATGATGGGGAAAATACCCCGGAATTCCAACTGTATATGGAGAAACAGAATCTGGAAATCCAGACGTGTATGAAAATTTTTTTCCTGGAAATCCAGGCAGTTATGGCTACTAAATTAAATGTGGCCTAGTTTATCTCGCCACATACCGGTTGATGAGGTTGGATTTCCAACACTGTATGACTAAAAAAACTTGGAATTCTGATTGTATATAGTAACTTAATTTGGCCAGTATGAAATATTTATTACTGAAATTAGATAAGAATGGCCACTCAACAGAATGGGTCTAATAATTATCTTT